TCGCTAAAAAGGTTCATTGCGGGCCTGCTCACTGGCTAACATTTTACGATATTCATGACTCGTGTAGAAAAGCCGATAATCTATACATGTGTGTGAGGAGTAGTTATCAAGCTTGCTTTCGTCTGTAAAAACTGTCTTAGGCCAAGTTAGGGAGGTGAAAAAGCCAGTATTTGAACAATAAACAGATGATCAGGTTTTCTTCATATAGATCCCTTAAAATATCCCCCACTGAGGACACAATTTGATTCATTTTAGCTCATTAGCTGCGCTCATCATGGACTATTCTTTATAGCAATATCTGTTAGCCATTTAGGGGTCTTTTGCATTCAAAGTTTAGTTTTAGTGGGTTTATTTTGCGAAAAAGAACTCAATTTCCAGATCAAAGTTAACATTTTCTATATATTTTGCTGTGTCAAAATGACCTAATGAATATAAATACAGTACCCATATAGACCCAAAAATGGTATATCACATTGTACACATGACATTTTAGCAGGAAAGACTGCCATTGGAGTATATAACTTTTAACCTGTGTATATATATAATTAAAATATGATAATAAAATTCATGTCTTTTTCAGGACTTCTGATCGAACCATGTAGTATGGCATGTTTGTGAGATATGGTTTTGGTGGATAGGATGTTCATGAAGGACCTGTAGTACAAAGTATATCACTGGATTGAGCTCTTTGTCTAAGTGTATTATTAAAGTGCTTTGCTTTGAGCTCAGTTCATTGTTATGCAATTCATTCTTTGTGAAATAAAGATTTGACAGACAACTCTCGTGTACAAGGATTTGTCAGGGTAGTATCCATTCTATGTACAATGTAAGTAATAAGGAGATAAAAGCATTTTATTATGATTTGAACCAAACATTTTTTGTCCATTAACCAAATTTTAAAAAAGAACAAATTTACCTAACAATGCTACACTCGCTACTAGCAATATGATGCTAGGTTGTTTTAATACATCTGTACTGCCTACTGATGACTCGGTCCTGAGTGTAAATGGTCATTCAGTATGTTAAAAAAAAAAAAAAATTATAAGGCCTATCTGGCCTAATTGATTTCTAAAACTATATTTCATTGTACATGTTCAACATTTTTCATTCATTTGTTTATTTCTTAATTTGTGTGAATTAACATTGTTACAGTAAATGTTAATTACTACACTTTCATACCACAACAAATACTGTATTGGTATCACTTATATTTGTATCCATATAACAAAAAAAATTGAAAAGAGGATAATTTTGCAATACCTTTTTCATATTGAATACTACAACTTTTTTGATATTTAGACATATTAAGTAGATTTTCATAATACCCACTTGACATGCTTGAAATTCTATCAGATTACTTTTGGAGCAGTTAACTTATGAGTCTTTGAAGCATGCTCACAAAAGTTTTTTTGTTGATATCATTTTCATATTGGTCAAAACCTTTTTTTGCTTCGGCCAGCTTTGGAGGAGATGTTATCAAAGAATTGATAAAAAACAACACAGAAGTTTACTTTCTAGCTCATCTAGCCCCAAGCATCATGTGTCAGGCATTGTCATTACTAAAAACCAATAAATGTCTTCTAATCTGAGAAACAATTTCGACATTTTAACAAAATATTATACTAATGATACTGACAATCCACCACAAAGTAATATAAATAGAACCATACAAATAGTGAGCAAATACATATAAAAAAGATGTGGTATGATTGCCAATGAGACAATTCTCCACAACAGACCAAAATGACACAGAAATAAACAACTACGGGTCACCATACAGCCTTCAACAATGAGCAAAGCCCATAACGCATAGTCATTTATGTTATTTATGTACACAAAATAAACGAAAAACAAATATTATGTTACACATAGACAAACAACAACCACTGAATAACAGCCTCCTGATATCATGTTCTCAGATATCATCTCCCATTTAAAAAAAAATCACATGAAAAAATGAACCTATTATGTGTTGCTCTCCTAGCTACAAAATGTATCCAAAATCAAAGATGTGGAAAATATTCTATCATAATCATTTGGTAATTAATGCAATTAGTGTCTCTTCCATGCCCTCTTGAACATTAATCTAAATATTAAATAAACAACACTCCTCATGCTCAGGTTGATTGTCATCGTGCAACACAGTTAATAACACCATATAGGAAAAACATAGAACTCCTTTTGTCATATAAAACACTGTCAAACATCCAAACATACTATCCACATTCATCTGTGTCCACACTTGTTAATATTAGTTATATATATTTTGAAAAAAAATGAATTCTTTGGCTTTATGTTTACAGTTTGACCAATCTAGACACTCAGACAGAATGGTGATTTAACACATTTTTAGGAGAATTATTGAGAAAGGCTTTTTCCATTAATATTTGTCTAATGTATCTTCATGTACACTTGTCTCAGAGTTGCTAGAATAATACTTTCTCAAATGTATGCACTTGTATTATAAAACTCTCAAACAAGTAAAGTTATTCATAAATCAAAATATGTTTATAAATATGTTAAATGTATTGCATTTGTGTTTGATCACCAAATCCTCTTTAACATTCAGGCCAGCATTTTATATTACCCAGTATTGCCCAGTATTACCCGGTAAAACCCCGGTTTTCCCAGTATTTCCCACTGGGCTCGGCAATACTCATAAAACCCGGGTTTTTGCCAACCCTGTTTTAAACTAGATACCCTTATAATGATTGTGGCCAAGTTTGGTTAAATTTAGTCCAGTAGTTTCAGAGAATATTTTTGTAAAAGTTGACAGAAGATGGCGACGACGGACACAAAGTGATGAGAAAAGGAATCGGAAAATCAAGAAAAGTTTATAATTTACTGAAACATAAAATGCATTTAAAATTTCAGTCTGTACCAAACTCTTTTGGTTTCATCTTGAAGGTTCTTTCTCACCAAACAGATGTATTTCTGTCCATAATTAATTATGCTTATTAATTGTGTTGTTTTATGATGATATTCATGGTGAAAAGTGCATTTGCGCTTTATGTCATATGCATGATTGTTTCCTTTGTCAGTCATGTTCCGTTTCAAGGGCTTACCGGGGATAGCCCCTTGAACATACTTCAGAGTAAACATTTTACCCAGAAGTTTTCATTTCTATCGATCTGTGCTCATATATAGATATAGGAAGATGTGGTATGAGTGCCAATGAGACAACTCTCCATCCAAGTTACAATTTATAAAAGTAAACCATTATAGGTCAAGGTATGGCCTTCAACAAGGAGCATTGGCTCACACCGAACAGCTCATGCATGTCAAAATACAATAATATTAATAAGTCCCAGAACGCAGATGGTGAACACACCAAACATACAATTTGACAGACTTGCATCTATTTCATCGGTAAGAATCATCGAACCGACGACTTTGGCCCAGACTGCAATGAAATTAACTAGTTTTTGCCATGTCTTAAAACTTTTCCATATCATATGCAACTATACCAGTCATAATTACGTTCGATAACTCTGCATGTTACTGGTTTAATTAGGATTATGAAAAATTTACTGGTAACCCGTGTGATGAATGATTTAGAAATTTGAAAAATATAGATATTTCACCTCGGGGTTTCCAGGTTTTTTTTTTATTAATATAAAATAATACCATTAAATAATTTCTATAAGAATCGGACCATACTAATCTACATAAGTCTTGTCAAAACTTACATGATCTTACATCGTGATTAGGTGCCGTGTTTGTTTTCTTTGATCACGTTGATGACTTAATATCTCCTTAATCAAGCTATGTCCTTGGGTATTATTAGAGTGACAATAACGTGTCATATTTAATTGCAATATAAACAGTGAAATTAAATTGTGTTATTTGCATGGGCAAAATTAGTGTCGAACATCGTCTACGTTTGAAAATTGTTTGGTCGCCATTTTTTCACGTAACTTCGAAATTTTATCAAAACAAAAAGCATGTATCCACTTTATCAAAAAGACAAAATATTTGATTCTATGCTGCTTTAAGGTAAGACAAAAACTGAAAACGCATGCATCCAACAGTTTTTTTGAGTTTCATCGTAAAAATATTACAAAATATATTTTAACAAGTCGACCTACGCTGTCAACATGGTCAATGTAAACAATGCATGGTTGGTGCAAATAAATCTTTATTTGAGTGCGAGAGAATGTTTCTAATAAAAATATTAAATTAAAGGTGAAATAAGAAATTTCTCAAAACAATAAGATACACTTTAATAAATATTTCACAAATTACTTTTTAATTAATTGCTAAATGAAAACATGTTTTGTCTTTGTTAACTTCCGACATCGGCCGCCATTTTCAAAATATTGTTAACGAATGCCAAAATGAAAACTTTTCAATCAAATTTTGAAGCAAAAAGTTTGTTACCTAAACTGATTTGGGTTTCGATTTCATTTAAATGAATGTGTTGTCGATCTTTTTAGGGGTTGGAAGGATATAATTAACAAATTATAAGTTGAGAAATTTGATCATATAAGAAGGTCCCATTGCAATTTTATTGAGTTTTAACGAAGAAGTCAACGGAGGCTGTGTGGTTATATCACCTCCATTTTCAAACTTAATTTGAAGCAAGAAATCATATTTCTGAACTGAAACTTAAAATATTTTTAAAAGTAAAAATGAAAATACTATAAAACGCGGGGTTGGAAGGTAAAATACACAATGTAACAAAAAAGTTATGATCATTTAATCTATGTAGCCCGTTCATTTTCATTGATAATCAATCGGCCATTAATGATATACAAATGAATTGTAAAAGTCACGTGATGACCGCGATAGTTGGATATGTACAGTTTGGTCTGTCCACAGAATAAAAATTGTGGTGTAAATAGTTAATAGGTCAAATTAGCCAAAAGGTTTAATACAAATGCACGTTATTTCTATCCATGGCAAGATCTTGCCATGGCCATGATAGAAAACAAGTGCCTGTGGTTTAAATTTTTTAAGATGAACCATAATTTAATTCATATTAAACATGTTAAAATCACCTTTTAAATACATCAAATATGTCGTTCAACATCCAAAATTAAAGGGATTGGCCGTTTACCACTAGGCTTCTTGACGGGTTGCTGTTTTTTTTTTAACAATTATAATAGAATAATATCTGAAGACAGTAGACCAGTGACAGTGTTGTTTACCACATTTTTTGCTGAGTTAACATTTCCCGCTATTTTTTACCAAAGAAGTAACAGAAAGGGAAGTAACTATCCCACAACCAGTACATTAAGCTTTTTGAAAAAGCTTGCCATACACCAATTTCGAATGAGTTGACTTTCACCGGTTAACTCGAGGTCAGTCGGCATAAACGATCTCACATAAGCATTGTGACGAAGGAATTTTACTGTACGAGTTCGAATTCGTCTATTTAGTTTTTATCTTACATTTTTTTTGTGTCATAGAATAGATTATAGATTATTAATTTATAGAAAAGAATTATATAAGTTTATTCCAAATGATCCAAATTAATGGGCCCATAAGGGCCCGGGCATCATGAGATTATCACAACAATCAAACAATTAAATAAACACAAAAGAACAAAACTGAGGGAAAGAATTACTTGATTAATAGAATATATGGAGAAAAAAAAAAAAAAAAACCCAACTCAACATACATGTATTTATATATAAGGCCTATCAATTTTATAATCAATTTCTTCTCTACATATTACGACCAGCTGAAAAATAATTTGCGCCAATTACAGTTTTGAAAAGGTATTAATTGCGCCACTCCCTATTCAGTTTCTGATGGTATTAAGGATAATGCGTTGTTTCCTCTTTCCTGGAGTTTCTTATTGACAACATATTTGTTGAATATGGACTGAGGTAGAATTTTTCAACAAATAGTCACCGGGCATTCCTATTGGAACGAACTGTGCGCCTCTCCTTGCCGACCATTTTTGGCAGCTTTTAGATCAGGTTTTGGATGTCAGTCAACTTTATTAAGAGTGATTGAAGATTGGAAATTAGCCTTAGACCAAAATAAATACCTTGCAGCTATCCTTATGGACTTGTCAAAAGCATTTGACTGTCTCCCCCATGACTTACTGCTACTGAAACTAAAAGCTTATGGTCTCTCCAAATCCTCACTTGATATGTTATATAGTTATTTAACAAAAAGAAAACAGTGTGTGAAAGTAAACCAAAATTTAAGTGGTATGCTTGACATATTTAAAGGGGTACCACAAGGTTCCATCCTGGGACCCATCCTATTTAATATTTTTATAAATGATTTGTTCTTTTTTGTAAAAAAATGTTCTTTATATGATTATGCTGATGATAATACTTTGTCAAAGTCTGGAAATTCCTTACAAGATGTAACTTCTGTTCTTGAGGAAGACAGCAATTATTTAATACAGTGGTTTTCTTCAAATAAAATGCAGGCCAACCCAGAGAAATTTCAAGCTATCTCTCTTGGCAAAAAAAAACACATGATAAAAAGATTGTGTTTGATTTGAATGGTATTTCTATATCATGTGAGGATGAGGTTAAACTACTTGGGGTTACAATTGATTTTAAATTAAACTTCAATTTACATATTTCAAATATTTGTAAAAAGGCTGCAAGGCAATTAAATGTTTAAAAGAATTGGGAAACACCTAAGTAAACAAACTGAGTAAACTTACAATTTATTACTCTTTTATTATGTCAAAATTTAGTTACTGCCCTTTGACTTGGCATTTCTGTGGGGAACAAAATACCAGAAAAATAGAAAAAATACAAGAACGAGCGCTTCGCTTTATTTATGAAGACCATCAGAGCTCGTACGAAACACTCCTGCAGATTTCAAAACTTCCATCACTAAAAACTCGTAGAATGCGCTCAATTGCCTTGGAGACCTTTAAAATAATTAATAAAAAATGTCCTTTATTTATTCAAGATCTAGTTGTAATAAAAAACAATTCATATAATTTCAGGTATGTGAACAATGCTGAGGTACCTAGACCTAGAACCTCAAGTTATGGTAAAAGATCCTTTAGATTTGAGGCAGCACAAGTATGGAACTCCCTTCCCAATGAGGCTAGAATCATGACCTCTTTTGACCAGTTTAGGAATTATATAAATTCCTGGTGTGGGGGTCAAAAATGCAACTGCAGTTCATGCCGTTTCCATCCAGTGCTGTCTCAAAGCTGAAATGTTTTTCTTTCTTTTTATAATGGCCTTTTGCTCTGCTTTTTATGCATTTATTAAATATATCTGGTATTAAATGCTAGTGCTTAATAATTTATTTATTTATTGTTTTTATGCTTTTTAGTTTGTTATTATTTTATAATATTCAAGTGATTTGCTGATTCCCCCGTTCAGTGCACATAGAGGCGCTTGCCACATGAGCTTTGACTCTGGAGGCTCATAAATCAAAATTAATTTGCTTTCATTAAATTTGCATGCTTTTTCATCTTTATTTATTAGTATTTGCATGATGCTGCATGATTTTTTATGTGATAGTCGGTTAAAGAGCTCACCAGAGCTCACGTTTTGTCTGTTATTATGTATATATATGCCGACTCTAAATAAAATTTACTTACTTACTTACTTACTTACTTATTTTCACATGAGTGGGAGTTTCTTCAGACACTTGTCAAAAACAAGATGAATAAAAATGAAAGCCTTATCATTTAATTTCACATTCAGATATACTGATGATGTTCTTTCCACTGATGATTAACAATCCAAACTTTTCTGATTGGGTTCCATTAATAAATCCCCAAGAACGAACTAACAATTAAGGAAACAACAGACACGGCTTCCTCTGTCTCACTTTTTGACTTTTACCTCGAATTTCAAAAAAAGTGACATAAGCGGTCATCTCAGTACCAGAACCTATGACAAACGAGACGATTTTGATTTGAAATTATAAATCACCTTAGCAGCAATTTTAATATACCAATTTCACCTGCATATGGGATATACATTTCCCAACTCATTCGGTATTCAAGAGCTTGCAGTTGCTACTCAGACTTTATAAAACGTCGCCAGTATCTGAGCAGAAAGTTGGCGAGCCAAGTATATGTCAAAGAACATCTAGTTCTTTTTCTAAAAAAGTTCATTGGAAGATACCATGCACCTTGTTGATAAATATTTCGTATCAACTTCACAAATAATACAAGATGGATTTGAAGTATAGATTCTAGGCACTGACGTTGTTTTTCATCTTAATAACGTGTTCTTTTTATTTGTCCTTGAACATTTTCAACCTTTACTGTTTAGTCCATTTTTGGTAATATACCTTTGTCGTAGATCGGTACTTAATTATACATCCCGCCATTGTGTTATTGTGCTATGGTCAATTTTGTATTCTTGTCTTTCATTTTTGCGTATGTACTTAGATTATCTAGGTTTAATTCACCATTTCTACATAAGGAAATCTATGTACCAAGTCAGGAATATGACAGTTGTTTCCCATTAGTTTGATTTGTTTTAGCTCTTGATCCACTGACAAGCATTTACATTTGTGCAGTTATCAACACATTTTTTTTCATTTCTATTTACAATTTGTCCCAATTTGCTCGGTTGTGTACGTATCTGACAACTTGTCTAGTGATTGAAACAGTCTGTTTGAGTAAATGGGTAGTGTACATCAAATACAATACCAAATGTGTTTACTATCTAGATAGCATAGGTCTTATTTCCAACTCCTTGACATGATGAGTGTCACCATTGATCACAGCTGCATGTGAACATTGCACACATCAGCATTTGCTTTTTGACAACGAAGGGGAAGGTAGCAATTTATTGATGGTTCAGTGACCAGATTTTAAGCTCCCAACACTTAAAATGCGTGTAACTCAACGTCTTATATATTTGAATTGATTCTAATAGTAGCGCGCTCGCCTTGATTGCAGTGGGTCGTGAGTTTGACCTACGGCCGGTTGGAACCAAAGTCTTTAAAATATGTATTTGCTGTCTACTTCACAGCTAGGCAAGGATAAGTTATACCACGGAGAGCAAAGATTGGCTGATTCAGACATGTCAGAGCCAGACGAAATCTGAACGGGAAGAGCGACACGCCCTTCCACATAACGTTCTATGAACGGGAAGAGCGACACGCCCTTCCACCTAACGTTCTATGAACGGGAAGAGCGACACGCCCTTTCACCTAACGTTGTATCACCTAAGTAGTTCGTTTATATTTAATTAAATCAGGTTCCATAAGCTATACTGGAATTTCAACAAGTGAATAAATAGTTGTTGTACACTTTCTTCATAAATAATAAATGATAGAATAAAATACCAACGTTGATAGTTTGTCTATGAAAGGGAAGACTACAAGATCAGCTATATATTACAATAAATTTCAAAGAACAACACATTTTTGTTATTCACTTTAATATTCATTTCTCTGGCTTTTTGTTTTCCTTCTTATTGCATTTTTGCGCTGCCTTCCTTTGATTCGCGATATCTTTTTATTCCGATTCCCAAAATTCTACCTTATAACTGTAAATAAGGTTATGACGATTACTTGTATAAATACTTAAATTTGTAAATTTAACTTAATTTGTCGTTTTAAAGTATATAAAATTAAGAAATAATTCTTTCGTGCCATGCTTGATGCTCATTTTAACATGGGTAGGCATTTTATTTGTCAATATCTTTATACCGAGCGTTAGCGAGGTGTAAAATATTGGCAAATATAATGCCTACCCATGTTAAAATTAGCATAAAACATGACATGATAGAATTATTTCGATTCTGATAGGAATATTTATTAGACTTTTGTACTTCAAAGCGGACCTATAATTCACATTCGAAAGGCAGCCATTTTGATTTGATAAACCAAAAACGTTATCGAAAATCAACAGTTGAACGATAAAAAAAATAAACACATATACGTAAACTTACTTTTAGAATGATTTTATTTAATTTCCTAGCGAGCAACACCAACAAAACTGTCCATTTCGACCTCCGGTGTTGTTCAAAATACAACTGACATTGCAATTTCAATTGTGAAGTCAATCACATGCAGCCCATGTTTTATTGTATTTAGAACATGGCTTTGCTTCCAAAACGAAAGAAGGACGTCATATTAGAATGTATCCTGATCTACAACTTTTCATGAATCGCTATATAATTTAGGTTTGTTTTCCGAAATTAATGGTAACTTTATGCCATATATTTTTCTCAATTTAAAAAGCGTTGCTCGATTTGTTTTTAAACAGACTTATTTTGTTTTATA